TAAAGAAACTGAATTTTAACCTTTAGCCTTTAGGCAATAGCCTTTTTTTTTTTTTTTTTTTTTTTAGACATAGTCTTCCTCTGTCACCCAGGCTATAGTGCAGGGATGTGATCTCGGCTCACTACAACCTCCGCCTCCCGGGTTCAAGCGATTCACCTCCCTCAGCCTCCCAAGTAGCTGGGATTACAGGTGCCTGCCACCACGCCCAGCTAATTTTTGTATTTTTAGTAGAGATGGGGTTTCACTATGTTGGCCAAGCTGGTCTCAAACTCCTGACCTCAAGTGATCTGCCCACCTCGGCCTCCCAAAGTGCAGAGATTATAGGCATCAGCTACTGCGCCGGTCTAGCAATAGTCTTTTGAAGAGTTTTAAGCAAAGGAATGCCAGAATCAGAAATAATGGTTTAGATGTTGGGTGGCTGTGTGAGACTGAATTAAGGTGAACAAGACTGGAGGCAGGGAGGCTGTTGCCTAGGTAAGAAATATCAGGGCCTAAACCAGGGCAGTAAGTGAGGTTGAAAAGGAAAGCACTAATTCAAAATTATATTTAAGAGAATATAGTGCCTGACTCGTCCTGACACCATGGAAAGGAGTTTGGATTTTATTTTAGGGTGATGGAAGACCCTGAAACGCTTTGAGCAGGGAGTGTGATTTTCTGAAACATTTTAAAGAACCTCTCAGAGTGCTGTTGGAGAATATACTGTAATGGAGAAAAGAGTGGTAACAGATTATTTATTTTTTTAAAAGAAGGATATTGCCATAGAAGAGATTGATGGTAGCTTGAACCAGGGTGGACACAAAGGTGAGAAGCAACTGGATTGTTTGGAGGGTGTGTGTGTTTTTAAGAGACAGGTTCTGGCTCTGTCATCCAGCCTATACCACAGTTTCTCAAATCTCAAGTGCGCCTCCCGTGGGCCTCCCACAGTGCTGAGGTTACAGATATGAGCCACCCTATCTAGTCTCAGGTTGTATTTTTAACTGCAAATGGTATTGCCTAATTCATAGGGTTGAGAAAGAAAAAAGCAAGTTTAGGAAGATCACACTTGTTGAGCTCAACTGTCTTGTTTAATCAGGAGGTCAGGTTGTCCGCCTAGAGTGAAAATACCTTCAGAGGCTTGAGGACTGCAAATAGTAAAGGTCTGGAAGACAGCAGAGAAAATAAAAAGAGCTGAACAAAGGCTATCTTAAGGATTAACTGATGCCCTGCATGAAGTATGAAACCATATGATTTTAGTGATATCAGTCTAATGTGATATGTCATTTTCCCTTCACAACACTCAACTACCCAGTTGCAGGAGTTAAGCATAGACTGTAGAATCTACAGGGTTTCATTTGTAAATGGCTTGAGTTAGATGACTTTTTAATCTACATGAGTTCCAAAACTTTACTTTTAAGAATCCTAGAGTCTGTACTGCTATCACACAATTTATTTTAAATTGGTGCCTAGATATACATAACGTAAACTTACCATTTTAACTATTTCACTAGTTTATTTAAATTCAGCATTCCAGCCAGGGACCTCCAATAGGTGTGCTGGGACATTAAAAACCTAGCCCTGAAGGTGGCAGCACTGGGCCTGAGGTGACTAGTCTCAACTTCTACTTCTGTTGCCACTGGATGGAAGCAGCCTCATCTTTTCATTACAATATATAACACAGGTGTTCATTTTCTAAGTATGCTGAAGTTGAAAAAGTTTGGGAAGTACTGCTCTAAGCCACAAAATATGGAAACCCAGCATTACGAAGAGTTCAAAATAACTGCTTCTCTGTTAAAGACGTTTTTTCAGCAGATCTTTGGAACTTCCAAGTTTATTCCATGTGGTTCTTAAAGCTTCTTTAGAACCTATGAGGATGCCCGCCATTTCCATTGTTAAAGTGACCATATAATATCTCATTTAAAAATCTAAGAATTTTGAATGTACCCAAAGGTTTCCATTTACATAGAAACGGGATCTATCAGGGAATGCCCATTTAATTCACTCATAGAATACTGATTTGGTGGCACACACTGGGCTAGTTTCTGGAGACAAAAGGGTGAACAAACCTTTTTTATTTTTTAAATTTTAGAGACAAGGTCTTTTGCTGTGTCACCTAGGCTGGAGTACAGCGGCACAATCATAGCTCACTGCAGCCTTGAACTCCCGTGCTCAAGCGATCCTCCCACCTCAGCCTCCACAGTAATTAGAACTAGAGCCATGCACCACTGTGCCCAGCTATTTTTGTTTGTTTTTTTAGAATAGGCGACAAGATTTCACTATGTTGCCCAAGCTCATCTTGAACTCCAGGCCTCAAGTGATCCTCTTGCCTCAGTCACCCAAAGTCTGGCCTAAGACATGGTTTTTTTATCTCAAGAAATTTACAGTCCAGCAGGGAGACAGAATTAATTAAATAACTAAAACAATAAAAACTGTAAGAAGGGGAGGTTACATGGTACTATCAGAGGATCTAGTAGAAGAGACTACTGAAATAAGATAAAAACATGATTAGTTTTTTATCTCAATAAATTTACAGTCCAGCGGGGAGACAGAATTCATTAAATAACTAAAACAATAAAAACTGTAAGAAGGGGAGGTTACATGGTACTATAAGAGGATCTAGTAGAAGAGACTATTGAAATAAGATAAAAACATGATTAGTAGATAGCTACGGCAAAGAGTGGGGTAGGTTTGGTGGAGAACTCCAGGCAGAGACAATAGCATGCAATGGCCTAGGAGACATCAAAAGTCTAGTGAGACCACAGGACAGAAAATATCTGGAAATAAAGCCAAAGAGGTAGCAGAGGCAATTCAAAGGGGCTTCCTTCACAGAGTAACTGGAAGCCACTGAAGGGGTTTAAGCAGCATAGTGACATTAATAGATGTACTTTTCAAGATCACAGTAGCTGCAGTATAGAGAAGTGGTCTCAAAGTAGACACGATTTAAGGTGGAGGAGGGAAGAAGATGTATTTTTATTCTATTTTTTTCATCCTCTAAAAATGCTTTTAAAATGGATTATAATATTAGCTAAGAAATACTAATTATGGCTAGCTTTTGGGCACACAGTATATATCTGAATACTAAGCAGTTTACATATATTCATTTAATCTTAATACCCTGTGAGGTTGGTACTATTATTATCCTCAATTTACAGGTAGGTAAAATGGGACAGCGAGGTTAAGCAGTGAGGTCACTCAGTAAGGAAGTATTAGAGCAGGATTTAAACCCAGATGTCTGAGTTCAGAGCCTGTAACTTCCTCGTTAGATCATGTACCATTTTTCAGCAGTACATGTATGTAATTTAAAATTAAATATATATATGGAGAATAGATGCTCAAATTTTTTTCCGAACACCAGTGAAAACAAAGGTTTAGGAGGGGTGGTTGGCTGTGTTGATGTGGAAAGGAGACTAGCAGTAGACTAGGTAAGAAATAACAGTATCTTGGATTATGGAGGTAGTGATGGAGAGAAGGGGATGGATTTAGATGTCTGGTAAGTAAAATTGGACTGAGTGATGGCTTGCATATGGAAGTTAGGGATGAATAAAGTGTCAAGGATGACTCTGGTTTCTGACTTGCATAAATGGATTAGACAGTGACACACAGGCAGAGGCCGTAAGAACAGGTTGGGTCATTCTGCTCAGATACTTTTTCTTTGGACCACAGTACAGACCACAGCACACTGCTCTTTCAATACTCTGTTAAATGACAAACTTATTACAGGTTATGTCATAAACATAAAAGCTTCACTCTGTCAATTATGTTTCCTATCTTGTGTTAAAAATTACATAGTCAAAATTTTATCCATTTTCTTTTAAAAATGTGGAGTTAAGGCTTATAAAACGGGGAGTGAATGATAGTTGCCGTAACACGCTAATAGAAGGTCTAGCACCCCTCTTCTGTATACTAACTTTTTAAGTTATGGTATTTATTCATCCCTTAAGATGTGGGGACAGGTGGAAAAATTACCTTTCCACTTTGTATTTATGATTTTCTAAGTACTAAACTTTTAAACTGTTAATATCCCTTGTCCTCTTCCCAGGTCTTAGAATGATTACACAAAAGTACTGGACTGGTTTAAAAGATATTGTGATTCTACTCTATTTTGTTCATTTGTAGAATTTCTAGTGGTCTAAAAACGATTCTTTTTAGAAATCAGGAGAAACAGGAATACCTACTATCGGTTTGAATCTCAAACGAACAGTCACAAGAAAACTGGACTTAAAAAAAAAATTATCTAACAGCATGTTGTCCCAATAAATAACGCTGATCGCTTCAGATTCCTTCTCTTTTCAGATCTGCCAGAAACTTCCTGTTTAACCTCAGCAAAATACAGATCGTTTTGATCTATGGCGTTACCGCCCAATCCTGTCAGGTCACATCACTAAATTGCAGATAACAGCAACAAGGCCGAAAACTATGTTAGACGGATCCGCGTCCATACCCCACCATCAGTTAATTTTAACTCTCCATTCGGTACAGGTCACTCAGACATGCTTCCCTCCAAAATGTTTAAGTTAGACACACTGTACAAATAACTTTCACAGAACCCCAAGGGCTTGATGCTCCCCCGACAGAACGGCTTGAGCTTTCCCCAGCGCATCTCAGAGGCGCTGTGGCGGTCGCCAGACTCTTCGGGTCGCTCCCCTCCCCAGCCATTGCACTCGGGAACGGGCCGCACAGCGGAGCCCGCTCCTCAGCTGGGGCACAAAGTGCGCCGCCGCGCCGGGCAGCGGGAGGAAGGGGCGTGACGCAGTTGGAACTCCCGCGTGACGTCGCGCGGGCTCCCGGGCGGGGCGGGTCCGGCCGCCTCCGTGCCCGGCCGGCAGCCCCCGGCCTTAAAGCGCGGGCTGTCCGGAGGGGTCGGCCTTCCCACCGAGGATTTGGCATTCTGGTGAGGGGAAAGGGCGAAAGAGAAAAGCGAGCAGCCGACCCTTCACAGCGTCAGAAAGTACTCGCTTCCCTTCGGGGGCTTTCGCCAATCCCGAGGCAATCTTGGAGGCGGTGAGTAAAAGGAATCTCTTTACCCCACCCGGAGCTCTGGGTCGGAGCGGCTACTTCTGGTCTGGAGCTGCGCGCTTGGCGAAGGGCTCCCGGGGTAGGGGTGGCCGCCCGGCTCTGGGGCTGTGTCTGAGGAAATAGGCTGGGCCCGGGCGACACTCGGTGGCTATGGACCGGCGAGAGGACCAGCTCTCACTCACTGCTATTTCTCGGTCTCCCGCGCGGGCTGAGGAAGCGTCTTTCACCGCCAAGCGCGTCCCGCGCATGCGCCGGCTGCGGCGCGCGCGGGCGCGCGCTTCGGAGCTTTTTTGGCCAGACCCGCACGCGGAACCCGCGCGGGCGCCTGGGGAGAGGCAGATGGAGAAGGAGCCTGGCTGGAAAGCCTTGGCTCTGCTCTGCTCCGCCCATGTGAGGACCGCTCAGATGCCCCGTGCAGTTTGTTCAAGTCCCCTGTGTGACTCGAGATGTGCCTCTCGCCTTACCCGTGTGGGAATACCTGTGGTATGGCAGCGAGTATTTTGGTGAACCCCTGCAGTGTGGTGGTTTATACTAAGGAATACACAGAAATGTATTAAATAGTTACAGGCCTTTGAGCCCAGAATGCAACTTGGGACGCAAGACGCACCGTGCTGAGAGATTGAGAAATGCACACTGTTGTACCTCGAATAACGGTTCAGTGCCGAGAGAGATGCTAACAAGTGCTGGGCATGCGGGGTAGGTGGAAAGGGTTTTGCGAGCTAGAATTTGCAAGTTGAATGTTTTGTTTTTATGTTTTGTTTTTAAAGCACTGTACATCACTTACTTGAAGATAGATACGTAAAGGATGCTTATTTTACACTCTTGGCTTTAAACGAATATATTACTACTTTTTAGGTCATTAAAGTAATTAAACCTTTATTTTAAACTGTTGACTTCATAGAAATAGTTTATGTCCTTTTTTTTGTTTTGTTTTTGCTGCAGAGAGGTATTTTACAGTTATTGGTCTCATGACTTGTTTTCCATCCCTGACATAGCCATGTCCCAGCTGTGTGACCTTGGGCAAGTAATTTACTGCCTTACGCCTCTTCCCCCAACTCTACAATGAAATTATAGTGTCTGTCTTACAGAAGTTTTCTGAAGGTTAGGTAGAATACAAATATTCTATAATAACACATAATTATATATTAAATAATATATAAATATAAATTTTCTACAGCACAGTTTCTGGTATGTGGGAAACAATGAATGGTGACTTTTATTCGCAATTATATATAGGCACATTTGTTTGTCCGTTAGAGTCAAAAATAGAATGAAAACCTCTTTGGAAACAAGACTAATGCAGTGCACCTAATTCTACTTTTAAAAACTTTTTTGCAGAAGTAAACGTATACGAGAGAAATATTAGAATTTTGAACCCTATTGCATACCCATCCACCCATCTTCAGAAATTGTTGAAGTTCAGCCCTTGTTTCATCTCTTCACCCAACATCCATTTTTGTTTGTTTTAGCTGGATTTTCTTTTTCAAGCAAATCCCAGAGAATATATCCCTTTACCTGTAAATATCTCAGTAAATATCCCTTCAACAGATAAGGCCTTTCAAAAAAAAAAAACACATCATTATCATACCCAAGAAAATTAATAATTCCCTAATCTCTAAAATCCAGTTCATATTTAGTTTCTGCTGAATTTTTTTTTTTTTTTTTTTTTTTTTTGGAGACGGAGTCTTGCTCTGTCACCCAGGCTGGAGTGCAGTGGCTGGATCTCAGCTCACTGTAAGGTCCTCCTCTCGGGTTCACGCCATTCTCCTGCCTCAGCCTCCTGAGTAGCTGGGACTACAGGCGCCCGCCACCTCGCCCGGCTAGTGTTTTTTTTTGTATTTTTTAGTAGAGACGAGGTTTCACCGTGTTAGCCAGGATGGTCTCGATCTCCTGACCTCGTGATCCGCCCGTCTCGGCCTCCCAAAGTGCTGGGATTACAGGCTTGAGCCACCACACCCGGCCTCTGCTGATTATTTTTTAAAAGTCTAATCACAATTTTTGCAAAGCTTGATAGTTTATTTTTGTAGCTCTTTACAGTTCACCAAGTGGCTTCATATACACTCTTGCTCCCTTCAGAATTACTGTTTCAACTCCTTCATCAGAAACCTCGAGAAATGGTTAGCAAGAAACAATCAGTTCGCGCACTTGTTAGAAATGGTACTGTATTGGCTAAGGAGCCAGATGTGAGGTTTAGTAGACTTGCTAATCACTATACTTTTTAAGTTGTAGCTAATTAATGGTTTCATTTTAAGAACACATGTTAAGGCCGGGCGCGGTGGCTCAAGCCTGTAATCCCAGCACTTTGGGAGGCCAAGACGGGCGGATCATGAGGTCAGGAGATCGAGACCATCCTGGCTAATATGGAGAAACCCCGTCTCTACTAAAAATACAAAAAACTAGCCGGGCGAGGTGGTGGGCGCCTGTAGTCCCAGCTACTCGGGAGGCTGAGGCAGGAGAATGGCGTAAACCTGGGAGGCGGAGCTTGCAGTGAGCTGCGATCCGGTTACTGCACTCCAGCCTGGGTGACAAAGCGAGACTCCGTCTCAAAAAAAAAAAAAAAAAAAAAAAAAGAACACATGTTAAAATATTTACTAATCTGTTCAAACTTCTTAACCTGTTGGTTTCTTCAAGGACTATGTAATAAACTTAATCATTCACCTTTATTCTAAGAGAGGCATGAAGTAACGTTACCCTAATTGTGTTATAACTCTAAGATGTTTCTATATTCATAGATCTTTGCTGTGTTTGTATCTTACTGACTTCTCTTGTTTTTGGAAAGTTATACAGATCCTCATCTGTGTTAATACATCAGTCGACTATCTCTTTTATAAAATATATATAGATGTGTGTATATATATGGATGCTTGTTAAGTCAAGACTATCTTAGAATGTTTTTCAGTTTTGGGCTCAGTATGCTGTTGCACCAATTCAAAAGTTAAAATTTTTTTTTTTTTTTTTTGAGACGGAGTCTCGCTCTGTCGCCCAGGCTGGAGTGCAGTGGCCGGATTTCAGCTCACTGCAAGCTCCGCCTCCCGGGTTCGGGCCATTCTCCTGTCTCAGCCTCCTGAGTAGCTGGGACCACAGGCGCCCGCCACCTCGCCCGGCTAGTTTTTTGTATTTTTTAGTAGAGACGGGGTTTCACCGTGTTAACCAGGATGGTCTCGATCTCCTGACCTAGTGATCCGCCCGTCTCGGCCTCCCAAAGTGCTGGGATTACAGGCTTGAGCCACCGCGCCCGGCTTTTTTTTTTTTTTTTTTAATTGAGACAGGGTTTCTGTCGCCCAGGCTAGAGTGCAGTGACACAATCCCCACTCGCTGCAAATTCCGCCTCCCAGTTTCAGGCAGTTCTCCTGCCTCAACCTCCCAAGTAGCTGGGACCACAGGCACGCACCACCACACCTGGCTAACTTTTGTGTTTTTAGTAAAGACTGGGTTTCACCATGTGGCCAGGCTGGTCTCAAACTCCTGGCCTCAAGTGATCCACCCACCTCAGCCTCCAAAAGTGCTGGGATTGCAGGCCAGAACCATCTCCCCCAGCCAAAACAATAAATTATTTTATAGTGGTAAATTAATACTGCCCATGAATGATAAAAACCCCTCAATATCCAAATCCTTTCTGTTTAACATAATTTAGATAATTTTTCCTCTAAGAGAAATAAGAAAATTTGCCTGAAAATTTACCTTATATAGCCAAATAACTGAAATCAGGGCTTTTCTCACCATTATCATCTTTCCTTATTCTTTCCTTCCCCTCCCAAATTCTAAAAATGATTAATTACAAGTAAATAAAGAAATGGTAGATGAGGATATCTGGGCTTGTGTTTCATCCTGACTTCAAAGTACATAAAGATAAATGCAACGTTCATTTATGTTGCAATCTGTCATTTCAGGTATTTGACCTGTCCAAAGACGACTTGATACCTCTATAATGTAACAGAAAAGGTCAGAAAATATTAAGCAAATAGAAGTGTGGAGCATATTAAGCAAGATGAACATCTCGGGAAGCAGTTGTGGAAGCCCTAACTCTGCAGATATATCTAGTGACTTTAAGGACCTTTGGACAAAACTAAAAGAGTGTCATGATAAAGAAGTGCAAGGTAAAATCTTAAATAAAAGCAGTATTTTATTGCGACTGTAGTGGCTTTGTATACCTTTGTATGACAGTTCTCTTTATTTTTTCTATTTCAGCTTTGAGGTTCGGGGGGGTACATGTGCAAGTTTAGTACATGGGTAGATTGCATGTTGCTGGAGTTTGGTGTACAAATGATTTCATCACCCAGGTAGTGAACATGGTACCCCATAAGTAGTTTTTTGATCCCCACCCTCCTCCCACCCCACAACCCTCCACTGCCATGTAGGTCCCGGTACCTGTTGTTCCCCTCATTGTGTCCATGTGTACTAAATGTTTAGCTCCCACTTATAAATGAGAACATGCAGTATTTCTGTTCCCTGCTTAGAGTAATGGCTTCAGCTGTATCCAAGCTGCTGCAAAGAAAATCATTTTGTTCTTTTTTTATGGCTACATAGTATTCCATGATGTATATGTACATTTTTTTTACTCAGTCCACTGTTGAGTTTTGTGCATTTAATGACCATCTTTAAGTTCAAAGATATCTTTTTTTTTTTTTTTTGAGACAAGGTCTCACTGTGTCATCAGGCTAGGGTGTAATGGTGTGATTATGGCTCACCACAGCTTCCACCTCCCATTTTCAAGTGAGCCTCCCTCCTGTAGTTGGGACCATAGGCACACGCTGCCATGCCTGGCTAATTTTTTATTATTTGAAGAGTCAGGGTCTCACTATGTTGCCCAGGCTGGTCTTGAACTCCTGACCTCATGTGATCCTTCTGTCTTTGCCTCCCAAAGTGCTGGGATTACAGACGTAAGCCACTGTGCCTGGCCCAAAGATCTCATTATTTATTTATTTGTGGATTTATTTATATATTCATGTATTTATTTATTTACTTATCTATTTTCAGAGAGGGTCTTACTGCATCGCCCAGGCTGGAGTACAGTGGTATGATCACAGCTCCCTACAGCCTTGACCTCCCAGGCTCAGGTGTTCCTCCCACCTTAGCCTCCTGAGTACCTGGGACTACAGGTGTGCACCACCATGTCCAGCTAATTTTATGTGTTTTTTGTAGAAACAGAGTTTTGCCATGTTGCCCAGGCTGGTCTTGAACTTCTGGCTCAAACAGTCCACTGGCCTCAGCCTCCTGAAGTTCTAGGATTAC